GGAACTTCCATCATGGTTGGGATGAGGTGAGGTGCTTTTTGAAGCACATGTAGATTCTGGACTCTGTACAGGAGAAACTCAACTCAGTGTTTCCTCATACTTTGCTTCCTTTTTATTTGAAACAAGATAACTGATATCTTTCCTGCGAAATTCTTCAGCTTGCCCACCAAGATCCTTTATATCCTTTTGTAGTTTTTCACATATGGTGATGGAAGGCAAGTCAAGGTAAAATATTTTTCCACAAAGAGGCTTACATTTGAGTTTTTCCAGCCTATTATCAGTTTTTAGAGATTTCAAAGATGGTCTGTTCTTTTCATTTTTGTCTTGGATGCCACCCAGGAGAGGTGCTTTGCTGTGGATTCTCATGATCTCAAGGTTCATGGCAGCCACCCGGCACCTACATACAGGATCTGCACCGGGTGCCACATGTGGCAGCTGCAAACACAGAGCTCCAAGGCCTACCCGCCCCGGCCAGGCACCAGGCCGTGGTGAGTTCAGGGCCGGTTTTGGTGCCAAGCCTCAGAGCAGGAAGGGGCTAAAGTACAGTCGTGTGAACCGCCAGTCTGCTTTTTTATACAACCTAAGAAATACAAGAAAATGCCAATACAGGCTTGTCCGCATACCAGTTCTCAATCAGGGTTCCCTCCCCAGATAATTCTAGCTTGTGCCAAGTTGACAACAGAATAATCAGGACAGTTATCCTCTTTTAAATGTTATGCACCAGTATATTACTAATAAACCATAGCCTTTCCTTTCTTGTTAGCCACCAAGATCTCATTTTAATATCAAGCTCACAACATAAACCATCGTATAATCTCAAAAGTCCTATAGACTTTCAAAGTTCACCTGCTTCAAAATATCAAAAAAAAACTCTTTAAAGATGCAAAATCTCTTAATTATGGACTCCTATCAAAAATAAGTTACATAGTTTATATGCAAGGAGAGGAGAACCAAGGCACAGTTGCAATAAAATCAAAGCAAAACAAAATTTCTACAATGTAGAAGTGCAGTGCTTCACACCTGGGAACCACACACGAGCCTTTGGGCTCCAAGGGCCTAAGCAGCCGCACCTCTCCAGTCCTGCCCTCCGGAGCACACATAGCTTGTCTCATGGGTTCAGGGCAGCTCCACTCCATAGCTGATGCTGTCCTTGACAGTCATTCCATGGGACTTGTATCTCCAATATTCTGGGATTGCCATGGCAGTTGAGGCTGTGCCTTCCCCAGTGGTCTCTTGTGGCCTCTCCTCAACGACTCCAGCCCTGCCACACAGTGCCAATCCTCAGCTGCTATCCATGACCCCTTCCTGCCTACATCTGCTGCTATTTATGATAACATAAATAAAATATTGTGGAAGGCCCCTCCCCCCATAAACTCTTGGTTAATATAAAATGAATGACTAAATTACAAAACCATTACCTTCATAATCAGAGTTACCGACGGGTGCCGAAGCCAGTGGATAAAATTTTGATGAGTACTTACAAGATTACAATAACCTGGAGCAGGATGAGATCGAGTTCAGGAACCTGAGGCACACTGGAAACCTTCCAACTGCTCTCAGCTGGTCCTTAGGCCATATTGCTAAGTGTCATATCTGCAATAGGGTGAAAACCTTTCATATATTTATTCACTTATCAATTCATTGACAATTTCACACCTTTCCACAATGCAATTTGGTCAGATTACCCTGTCATAGCTCTTCCTATGTCCTGCATCCCAACATGTCTCCCTCTTGCTTTTGTGGCTTTTTTTTTTTTTTTTTTTTTTTAATGACCACTGAGTTTAACTAGAGTTGCTTGAATGACTTAGGTAGAGGGTTATTTACCGGAGCATTGGCAACTTTCCAGAAAACACCAGTGAAGAAAATGGCTCTCCCCCCCCCCAGTAGCCATTAACTGCCAAGAGCCCCTTCATCTAGCACTAACCTATGGTTATAAATGGAAATATTTAGAAGGTAGCTTGACAACATGTCAATTTAACAAAACAACAGAAGCAGGTTCCCTCCCAGAAGACGTGGCCTCCCCAGGCATGGGCTTTTGACCAGGTTGTAGTTCGGGGTCTGAATTCCCTCTTGTGTACCCATACTAGTTGTGCCACTATTGCATCATTGGGCGCATCTTGCCCGGCATGGTGTTTGTGTAGTCCACAAGAAGGGAAGACGTTTGGTGTCAGTTCTCCCACAGAGGCCTGCAAGCACCTTCTGGCACTGGGGAAGCTATCCTTCAGAAGAAAAGCTCCTGACCCTGTTCTAGGTTGATTCCTTTATGTCTTGCAACCAAAGTATGTGGTGACTTCAGAAATGAGGTTTTGCTCTCTAGTTCTGGTAGACAACCAAGAGAAATGGTGATGGCCTAGATTGTCTGGGGGATGGGCTTCTGTGTAACCCACACCTGCCACTGCCTACTCCCTAATAACCTATGACTTCTGGGAGCAGTGTTATTTGCTATGAAATATACCTCCATTCAAACTTCCTTTTCATTTCCTTTTACAATTTTTTTATTGATTGTATGTGCATGGGTGGGAAGCCATGAGGGCAGCTGAGCATCATTAGAATTGGCAGCAAATGCTATCTCTGGCTGAGTCATCTCTACGGCCCCATCGGCTCCAGCATTTACCAACCCTATCAGGGTTGAGAAGAGTCATTTTTATCGAATATCACTGCATTACAGGCATTGTGCTGGAGGGGATGGTGTATGTATATTGACCCATTCATAACATCAGATACACTTTTCCAAGTCATATCCTTATTTTCAAAAGGAAAAAAATTCAAATGATAAGAAATTGCCCAGAAAAATGTCAAATAACCAATGACAGGCAGAGCCCAGAGCCAGAGTCCTTCCTTGCCTTCTGATTTAGCAGTCAGCATTGTTATCTTGCTGTGTGGCTCCGATTCCTCTTAGAGGACTGCTTCTGGGGTGACACAGTACTGAGGTCACAGAGACACTGCTTTGCTTTCTGTTCTATGTTGTTTGAGTCAGGGTTTAGCGTCACACTCACACTCCTGCCTTCGCCTCTGGACCCTGGGGCTCTAGGCATGGTCTACCATAAGGGGCCTCTTACAGAGGCATTCTTAAACACGTCGGTGGTTCCTGTTTTGTTTGTTTGTTTCACCCTCTTTACTAAACACTTAGTTTTCTTTTCCTCCTCTATTAGAGACAGCAACATAGCCACATGTCACTTAATTTTGAGAACCAGTTCTAAGACTCAGATCTTAGATGGCTTCATCATTGTGTAAGAGGTCGCAGAAAAGATTCCTGGGGAAGATACAGAACACACTAAAAGGTTTTATTAGCAGGAGAGATGTGATCTGGCTGGCCGTGGGAAAGAACAGAGTAGGGGAAGAGCAAAAACCAGCAGAGGGAAGACCAGCATGGGATGACATCACAGCCCAGGACGACTGCTGGGTTTCACAGGAGGGATGGTGGCGAGCTAGGCTGGGCCTCAGCCTATGGCCTGCACAGTGACTTGAGTGATTACAGTACTGATGAGAGGCAGGAAGAGGGTCCTGGCAGGTGCTGGTCTAAGGTAATCCGGAACATTGAAGGGTCTCAAGAGACGGTTGGAGAGTTATATCCGAGTACAGGATCTGCAGGTCTCTCACTATTGAGACCCGGACTGAGGAGAGGGCTCAGTTACAGAAGCAGTACAGGAGTGAAGTTCCTGGGGAATGGAGGCAGGCTGAGGAGACACAACTGTGCTTAGAGATGGCAAAAAGACGATGGAGGAGACTGGGGGCGGGAATATTCAGGAAGACACGCAAGGTTCAAGGCAAGGGTTTCACAGGCAAGGACACAGGATGCAAACAGAGAGAATGGATCTCAGATGTACTGGGAAGGCCCTGTGGGATTTGAACCTTCAGAAGAGCAGATGTTGAAAATGAATCCAGATTTCCAGTAGGTTAAGGAGACATTGGCCTTCTTGGAAGAAAGAGATCACTGTGAACACCTCCAGAGACACAGGCATCTCACCCGCTGGCCACCTCACACCATTGTCCCTTCTTATGGAGCTAGAACCTCAGACCCTGGGGGCCTCTCAGGCAGGCCTGCACCAGACACGACTACACACTATGGTAGAGAATCTTACATGTGTCTCCCTTCTGGGACCTCCATCCTGTATTGCCTCTTCAGACAGACCTGGAAGTTGGCCCCAGAGAAGACCCTATGGCATTAGCATTCTGCTCTATTCTTCCATACCATAAGAACCAGTTTCTTTCCATTTCCTCTTATTATACCAAAGGTTTACCAACTGGTTTCTATCTTTGACCCAGAACAAAATATGCAAATATATGAAAATATAGTTTAAAGAACAGTCTCATGAAACACAACTTACTACAGTGAAAATATTTGCATTTTCCATCCTAATCTGTTTCATTCTTTAAATGCTGGTCCTGGCCCACTATGTTCATTTAGTCATTTGCAAAACTGATTTAATGAAACACACTAGGACATAAAAGGGTCAAAGGAAAAGCACCCCCGGTGTCCTTGTCCCCCCACCTCCATTTGTCCCAAAACCTGTACCTGGGGGCTGACAGGCTCTCCCCTAAAGCTCTGAGAACTGCTCTCAAACTACAGGCTGCTAGCCCAGAGCTTATCTGAATTTCCACTGTGACCCACCACCATGCAAAGTTGAAGCTAGGTAGTAAGATTTAGACATGAGCAAAGTTGGGAAGGCTCCTCTTTTGAACCAGTTGCCTAGGCTACTGTACCTGTAGGATTCTGAGGCCAAGTGACAGCCAGGATCATTTTCATTCTGTGCCTCTGGGACCCTAATAACACCATTTGTGGAAGACATTCCCAGTGTGAGAAGTATGGCCATCATATCACACAGGCCAGTTCCCCCCTGACATTCAGCTGGACAGTGGAGCAGGGCTGCCATGTGCTGACTTTTGCTCTCTCTTCAGACCTCCCTGAAGGTAGACTACACCAAATCATTTCCCTCTTTCAACAGAATACCATGTTCACCTTGCATCTTATTTACAATGGCTTCTCTGCTTCAGTTCAGGAATTGCCAGGATTTGGGGATTGGCCTGGACCACAGCAGAAGTATGTTGCCTGAGGAATAGCAGAAATCTTTTGTCAGCTGTCGAGAGCTGCCCACAACTGTCATCAACACTTGAGTGCCCTAGAAGTCTTCTGGAGACCTGATCCATTGCATATCTGCAATGAGCCAGACCCTGAGCTGGGCCTCAACTTCTCCCCTGGTGAACAGAATTCCACCTGTGGCTTCGGTTGATCACACTCAGCTGAAAGATGAGTGAAGAAAGATGGGTCTCTCTCTCATCAGAAGAATTTGATCAACTCCAGAAATACTCTGAATGTAAGTTCTGACATTTACAGACATGGCATGGGACTTCCTCTCTTCTGGGAGATAAGTCCCAGGGGCAGGGTTATTGCAAAGCCATGGAGAACGAGGCTAGACAGCTACAATCACTTGATAAACACAGAATTTGTGCTTTCAGTCTAAAGATATAATCACTCTTAGGCTCTCATAAATAATCCACACTCACCAGAGAATTTGGAGTGCACACTGGAGAAAATAAGGCTGGTATAAAAACCAACAATGCACTCAGCAAGCCCTTCAGAATCTGCTTGGGTTGAGGCAGAAGCATGTATGACCACTATTACCTGCCCAACTCAGGGACCCAGGCCAAGTGCTCTGTGGGCAGACTTTTCTGCCCACAGCCAGCTCCCAAATAACCACACAAAGACTTATTATTAATTATAAATGTTCAGCCAATAGCATAGGCTTATTTCTAACTAGTTCTTATAACTTAAATTAACCCATATTTCTTATCTATGTTCTACTACATAGCTCAGTGCCTTTCTTCAACACGGCATGTTTATCTTGCTTCTCCCTGTGTCTCCTGGCAACCGTGCCCTCCTTCAACCCAGAGCACTCTCCCTGTGTGCACCCAACCTCTTCCTGCCGAGGTATTGGCCAATTGGCTCTTTATTAAAGTGAGAGCAACACATTTTCACAGTGTACAAAAAGACTGTTCCACAACAGTGCTCACTCTGCTTCTCAGCGCTGTGATGCCACAGCTTATCACCCCCGAACCTCCACATCTTCATGGGTATACCGGGAGGACTGGACCAGGGGCTGGGATATGACTTAGTTGGTAAAGTGCCAGACACTTGGCATGAGAACCTCAGTTTGTATCCTCAGCACACATGTGAAAAAGAAAGAAAACTCCAGGTCCTGTGGCAGGTGCCTGTCATCCTAGGGCTGGAAAGAGAGACAGGAAGATCTGTGGTACCTGCCGGACAGCCAGTCTGGATGAACCAGCAAGCTCAGGTTCAGGAACAGACTCAGATTTTTAAAAAGTGTGGAGAGTGACTAATGAAGATACTTGATATTGACCTCTGGCCTCCATGTGCACACATGCACACATACATATCACATACATATGTGTACACCTACACACACATGCACACACACAAAAGAGTAGACACAGCTTAAGTTCTTATTCAAGCCTAATGACCTGAGCTCCATGTATTCCCTGAGATCAACAGGGAGCTGGTGGCATTCCGGGACCCAGTTCTCCTTTCCAGCCTTGGTGGGTGTACAGAAACTGTGCAGTGTTGGCTGAGAACAAGGGTAAATTCACTTTAACTCAACCCACTCTTCAAGAGGTGAAATCACACACAGAGGCAAGGCCTGTCCTGTGGGGTGCAGAGTCCTGTCCAGCAGTCTGATCTGTGCACATGCAGATCACAACTCAAAGGCTCAGAAACACAACAGGCTAACTTCATGTAAAGGCACAGGGAGTAAAAAGACAGGAAAGCAGTATGGGAGACAGTTGTACCACGGTGGGGATGATTAAACAACAGAAATTGACTAACTTCAAGCTGTGGAGGCCCTGAGTCCAAAATCAAGACATTGGCAAGTTGACTTTTCTGTGGGCTAGAAAGAATGACCTCTCTCCCGGGCCTATGCCCATAGCTTGTTTATAGCTGTGTTCTCCCTGGAGTCTCTTCCCAGGTATGGTGTGTGTGTGTGTGTGTGTGTGTGTGTGTGTGTGTCTGTGGGTGTCTGTGTGTATGTGTAGGTATGTGTATGTTTGTGTGTGTGTCTGTGTGTATATGTCTTTGTGCCCATATTTCTCCTTTTTAGAAGGATACAGTATTAATGATTTGGATACATCCCACTCCTCATCTTAGCTGCTTAGATCTACAATAGCCCTGTATAAGATCACATCTTGAGAGTCTAAGGCTTTTTAACATATGAGTAGGGGACCAGACTGAAGCCATAGGAAAAGAGCTAATGGAGTGAACTCTAATTCAAGTCAGAGAGTCTAAAGGGACAAGGTGAGCAAAGGAGAAGGCAGAGGTCTGGACTGGATGGGGAGAAGGAGCAGAAGGATGAGGAGGGAAGGAGCTAGCATCAAGCCTTTCATGTCAATGTGTGGGCCATGAATCTGGAGGCTGTCTATAAAGAGGCTCACGTCAGGTAGCTGCTATACTGGGAGTCAGGCCTTGGTTGAAATGAAGTCTAGCTTGAGACAAGGAATAAGATTATAGTGTGGAATTCAAGCCAATTTGAGGGAAGTTGTGATGCAAGTGTTATCTATCAGCCTATGGAGAGCAAAGGAAGCCAGTGGAGGTACCTCAAAACTGAATGTGGCAACAGGAGATCCCGGGACTGATGGAGATAGTTTAGGATGATAAGGATAAAGGTGACAATAGCACACTGCTTACAGATCTGTGTGTACCAGACTCTTAGTAACCAACGAAGAGGAAGACACAGCTCCTGACCGGGGAAGAGATGGGACTCAATGACATCTCCATGTGACAGGTGTTAAGAAGGCTGGAGTTGGCCTTGTAAGGCTCAGACTTGCCCAGCAAGGATGTCCTTGTGCGATCCTTGCACTTAGACACGGGCTGAGAGCCTTGTAGAGTGTGGGAGGAGATGGAGAATGTACCAGACCCTTTGCCAGGATTCCTCTGAGAGCAATGTGCAGTACAGAGAGGTATGAGTAGGAATTCAGGATTAGGCTACAGCTGCAGCCTGACTTTGGAGTCCTGTAGAAACAACAACGGTGTGGGGAGGGAGAGGATGAAGGCATGTTAGAGATTAGAGTGTTAGGAAATAGAAGGGAATAGAGAGAAGTTTAGGGCATGCCTTCGGCTAGGGATTCAAGAAGGACAAAGAGAAGACAGAAGAACTAGAAAAATAGCCACACTAAGAGCCCATGGTAGGTGGGGAATGTTGGCCACTCCTCTGATCCCCACATGGGAGGCTGAACTGAGTAGTGCTCAGGGGATGCTGTTTCATCAAGAAAGGGGGGGGGGAGACAAAATTCTTGGAAAATGATTAATCCTTAGAGGAAACCTTGAAAAAGTCACTTCCACCAATTTTAGATGCATTCTGGTGTTCAGTCAGATCCCATTGCCATAGCAACCACTCTTCCATAATCACATAAACAGGAGCCTTACAATAGCAAAATGATGAAGGACACAGCACAAGAACTGAAATCTTTGGGGCCAGGGAGGAGGTATGCCACTTGTCTTACATAAGCACACACCTTCCCTGGAGGCCTTCTGGTAGGAGAAGGTATCTGAAAGCTGCTCTTGGAACATTGATCTAAGTCTGTACATGTAATCAGTCACACATGAACACATGTCTATACTTGACAGTCAGTTGAATGTGAAACAACAGCAAAAGTTGTTTATCGAAAAGCTCTTGTGTGTTAAGAAATTGTAAAAGCAAACTGTAGCCCTACCTCTCAGGAAATGGCAGCAGGAAGATGGCATGATGGAGGCCAGTTTGGGCTACATAGCTGATTTCAAGCCTGCCTGGACCATCACCTGTCCTGGTGTAACAAAGAACCAAATAGGCCAGTACATGGAATGTAAGTTCCACATGTTTTAGTTCAGCTTCAAGAAATTAAATAAAAGTGTCTCTTAGAAGTAGTCAATCCAATACAGGCTAGATAGACGATAGAGAGATAGACAGACACACAGACAGACAGACAATCATCAGTCATGACATGACATGAGTTCTAGGAGCGCACCACCAGTACCCTACTGTTTAGAATGCTAACCATCAGGACATGGTATCAAATGCCCTCCACCTTAGAAGGGAGAAGCTGGATGTCTTCTCACCCACACCTCTTTGAGCTCAACCTCTTTTCCCTCTGTGAGGGTTAGAAATCTGCCTACACGGCCTCACAGAATGTGTGGCTAGGGAGAAATCTCTTTGGAACAATGGCACTTGGCACTCGGAGTTTAGTAACCCTTGTCCTTGTAGAGCCTTTTCTGTTATGCTGTTATGTGTTGCCTCTATGGCTGAGTCATCACTTTCACAGGCTCCTGGAAGTGCTGGCCTGCTGCTTCAGCCTCTGACTTTGCTACACATCCCAGCCATGAGGCAGACTCTGAACATTCCCAGTTCTCTGCTGAGAGCCATTTGATCATGATCTGTAGTTGTTGGACCCAGTCATCAATATTTTCCAAAGCATTCCATATGATTCCAACGTGCAACCAAGGTTGAGAACCAGTGGTCTAACATTTCCCTGCTAGAATATAGATACAAGGGACAGGCATGAGCACCCCAACTGATCCCTTTTCTAGTCCTCATTCCTTCAATAAGCTTTTATTGAACATCTGATCTATGGGCTACATGCTCTGAACAAACTGTGAATGGGTAAGGAGGTACAGTTGGAATAAAGTGAGTCAGTGCCTGCTACTAGGCTTCTCCACACATCTCCCATCATGCTCTGTAGTCTGATTCTTCCCCACTGAGACTAGGTAGGCTCCTAGCCCTGGAATTTCTATGGTAACACCATCCTCCATCTTTCAGCCCCTGTAGAAATCACTGCCCGGGCTGTTTTCTTTCTTTGTGTGTTTTTGGCCCCTTGGAAGAATTACAAGGTTTATCTGTTCATCCCAGCCTTCTCCTGGTGCCATTCCACTACCACCACTCTTCAGTTAGGAATTATCTGCAGTTGTTTCAGTGTATAAAATATGTCTGCCTGGTCTTCACCTCACCATCTCTTCTGAGTTGTGAGAGGTGAGCTGTTGGCCAATGTAGTGAGCCTGAACTGTTAATCCATCAACAGGAGTATTGCTTGAGGTTTGTTCACCCAGAGTGAGGTCACCCAACATGACTGGAATTATTGGACCTTGGTCCAGATCTATATGGTGAGACCCCGAATTCTCCCCAGATCCCAGGTAATTCCTGTGCTCACTGCAGTTCAAGTAACTCTTAGGAAACCCTGAGGAGTAGAGGGTTTGGCACCTTCAAATTTCATTTCCGTATTTGAGTTTTCAGATTCACTTTTGAAACATTGATTCATGGTCAATTCCAATTTTAACAACTGTGTCCACAGCTAGAAGATAGCCTAGAAACTTCGGGGTTCTGGTCCAGATAGTGTGGCTGGTGCTCTGCTATTAACACAAGTCTCTGATTGGTCTGCTTGCTCTTACTGGGAGCATCCCTGCTCTAGAGCCGTGTGGAATGGTCTGTGAAAAAAATGGGTTTTCTTATAAATAGGCTTTACATTTTCTTAAATGCTAGGAACAGATGCTTAATTTAGGTCCCAGGTTTCCTGGCTTACAAAACATAAGGGATAATTGTGTACTAATTTTTTTCCCCTAGAGCAGTTGTAACAGCTAGTGACCTCTCACTGAAGGGAGCCTTCTCCACACCTGACTTGGAGTGGATCTGTCTGATTATGGTCCAGCCAATCTGAGTTTATACAGAACTTAGCCCAACTTTGCCAATTTGCCAAAGAATAATTTGATCTGCTACATTGAGTTCTTTGGTGCTGGCCACTTAAATAATGGGAATTGTCTGCTTCAAATAGTAGCTTCAGACTTGCAACAGTTGTGAGCTTATTTTCTTTTTCTTTTTTAAATAATTACCCAACAAGAGCAGCTACCTCTTAAGGTAGCCCTCCCTCACTTGAAAGAACATAACCAGATGGCAGAACAGTGCTCCTCATCACGGCTCACATTTTAATCCACCAGGAAGCTTTGCAATGGATTATTTGCGGACAGTCCCAATTGATGTGACTTAGTAGATCTTGAGAGCATGTTTTGGCACACATGGCAGTCACCCAGGTGACAACTCTGACACTAAGCCAGATTTCAGAACCACAGTCCTAGAGTTTTGAAGGTCCTATCTCCTGACTTAGTGTTCGTCTAATGGGTAAAGCTGATAGGCAAGATGCAATTACTCAGATATATTAAAAAGAAAAAAGGGGACACATGCCTTTAATCTCAGCACTCAAGAGGCAGAAGCTCTGTGAGTTTGAGGACAGCCTGGTCTATAGAGCAAGTTCCAGGACAGCCAGAGTGGTTACACAGAGAAACCGTGTCTCGAAACAGACAAACAAGAAAGGAGGAAAGAAAGGAAAGGAAAAGGAAACAAGAGGAACACACTCACACACTTTCGTTTCCTCTTCTGGTAAGTAGGCAAACATGCAGACAGAGCACTCAGACAAGGAAGGAAGGAAGGAAGGAAGAAGGAAGGAAGGAGGAAGAAGGAAGAAGGAAGGAAGGAAAAGAAAGTCCTTGGTGGTTTCTTCATCATTCAAAATATCTGTAATGGTTTTGAACCATGAGCTTCACTTGGCATTCAAGAACCCTGTAGACCTGGCCCCAATATACTCTCTGTTTCTAACTTATTATCTGTGTTCTAAGAGAGCCCTCCATCTTGGCTCGTTCTGTCCCCTCTGAGAAGAGTCCTTCAACTTTATACCTGCCTTTAAAAACCCAACTCGGCTGCCACAGACCCCAGGGTAGCTTACAACCAGCCCCACCTGACTCATTTGGTGCCATTATTGCCACCACAATGGCCACGCTTTACCTTGTGCTCACTAATATTTTATCAGCAATAGTGAAAAATGATGAAGGGGAAGAACACAGACTTTTGACCCAAACTAAACCTTAAAACCCTTCCCTTGGGAAAGCCATTTCATTTTTATGAATTTTAACTTCATCATTTGTAGACTGCAGGAATTCTCCCCTTATTTTGTAGAAAATGACTGGGAGAGAGTTTATGAGAATACACAGATAAATATCCCCAATCAGGGGCAGTTCCCATCACCACACCATTCAAGCCTTTCCCCTACCAGAGCTTTCAATAGTCCTTGAAGCATCTTGCTGCCCACACTGCTTTCTGAATTGAATGGAAGCAACCCAAATTGTTGGCATCTGCTGCCTTGAGTTTACCAAGCTATTAGCTCTTCAACATCTGTTTTGAGTTTCAGAAAGAAATTTCCATTTTTAGGCAACAGCAGCATTTTCATGTAGCATTTCAAAATGCTTCAATCCTGCAATGATTATAACTTCTGCTTGATAGACTCCTAGTCAGCAAAGCCACAGAGAACAGCCCAACCCATGAAGAATCCTTCACTCAGATGTTTAAATAGAAGCAATAATGAAGCTTGAAGAAGCTTTTAATTACCCACAATTCCTGGAGTCGGGGGAAGCACAGATCATAGAAACACTGGTTTCCTTCATGGTCTACTGTGCTGAATCATACATGCATACATGATGCATTTCTATGACAATTACTAATTCTTTTTATTCTCAGTTCTTACAAAATTCCTGCAAAGCAGCTAACAGTGTTTTCCCTCTTTCTGAATATTTTTTTTTTTGAGATTGATTTTTGTTTCATGTGTGTGAGCATTTTGCCTGCATGGGTCCAGTGCTCTTAAGGGTTGAACTCTCTCTCCAGCCCCTTCTGTGTTATTTTTTATAGGTATTCCAATTTTTAAATCACTGTGCTCCCCTAAATATCTATTTCCCTTCAGGTGCAAATGTCCCCTATGGGTAGCAGTGAAGGGGAAATGCAGAGGTCAAAGAGAGGCAGCTTCCAGAGAAGTCCCCACTGTCAGGGATACAATAGAGCATCCTTAGACTATCCAATCAGCCAGGTTAATTGTAAGATATAATTGAGGTTAATTTTTTGTGTCAAGATGAAAAATTTAATTCTTTCCAACAAGATGGAAAATAAAAATTGAGGACAAAGGGACACAGCTGTGAAGATCCCAGAGCTGGAAGAAACCACCTCCCACAGTACTGTTTCAGCACCACGGGCAGAGCCTTGCCAGCACTTCCCACTGGATATAATTGGTGAAGCAACCTTCTTGCTGGGTTTTTATTTGCTTTGTTTTTGTCTTAAGAGCCCAAGTTGGCCTCAATCTCCCAGGTCCTGGAATTACAGGTATACACCATCACATCCAGCTCGAGATTTTGCTTGGTTTCACCTGGTGCATAGTTTGAGATAATTTCTCCTGTATTTTAGTCTGGTTCAAACTCACTCTGTTGCCATGGCTAGCTTGGCTCCTGGTCATCCTGCCTCACCTTTCTGAAAGCTGACAAGTCTTTTAATGTTGTGGACTTTCTCCTCACAAGCCAAGATGGTGGCACAAGCTTGTAAGCCCATCACTTGGGAGGTGGAGTTCAAGTCATCCTTGGCTACATGGTGAGTTAGAAACAAGCCTGGGATACATGAGAGCCTGTCTCAAAAATGATAAATTCTACTCAGATGATTACACATTCATATACATGTTTAGAATGTTTTTTGTCTGTTCTTGGTTTAGTATGGGAAGACATGGCAGCAGTTACAGCACCCCAGAAATCCTCAGTTGTCCCAGAGGCCACCCATGGGCCCCAGAAAATCCCTCTTTATCTGAATGCCAGCCTATCACAACACCCTTCATATGCTTTGGAGTGGTGAACATGCATGCAGGTGCATGTGTGTATGGTGACCAATGGTCAACCTTGGAGGTTGCTCTTCAAGTATCATCACCTTCTTGGGGTCACATCCAGGCAACCAGGCACTCCAACTACTGAGCTATCTTTCACCCCAGTTTTCTGCTATTCTTACTTGGAGAAAAGTTTTCTGTCTCCCAAATCAAATCATTGAGGGAAGAAAGAGGGCCAAAAAGAACCAGGAAGAATAGATGTATCCAGCATGTACATTTGTATTCCAAAAAATACACAATTCAAAAAAATGATCAAAATACTCAGACTAATAAATGATAGAATGCTGCATGGTGAGAGCTGTATGCCTGTCACCGAGGGGCCCTGGGTGGGAATAACTCTGCCCCAAAGGCAAGTTTTACGAAGGAGCCGGTAGTAGACAGGGTACTGAAAATTGAGGGAAATATGAAAGGCAGAGAAATGTCATGGAAGAATATACAGCATGTTTGGAAATTTCTGGAAATACTTTACATGACTGGAAAACTGGGAGCATCTGGAAAGAGTTGAGCTAAATTGAATCCCTAAGGACTGATGAGCACAAGCTAAGAGGGAGTGCGGTTCTGTGAGGGTGAGAATCTCTGGGCCTGGGCCAGATATGATGAGACTGGCTTTCTGGAGAGGTGGTTAGGGGCTGGGAAGGTGGCTCTGAGGATAAAGCAGAGGCTTAGAATTGGAATTCAGTTCCCATCACCCACATCAAGTGGCTCACAACTACCTGTAACTACAGCTCCAGGGCTCACTCACTCACACTTTCTCCCTCTCTCTCTCCTCCTTCTCCCCTCTCACACACACAATTTAAAATGTAAATAATTAAGAAGAAGAAGAAGAAGAAGAAGAAGAAGAAGAAGAAGAAGAAGGAGAAGAAGAAGAAGAAGAAGGAGAAGAAGAAGAAGAAGAAGAAGAAGAAGAAGAAGAAGAAAGATAGTTCAGACAGCCAAAAGAGAGAGAAGGCTGGGAAGGATTGAAGGATTTGAGGACACATAGGCCAAGTCTCCACATGGCCCACAGGGCTGTTCCATCGTACACTAGTTATGCGGAATTTGTCTAGCCTTGGTTGCATTAGCTATTTACCTGTGTTTTACATTTTAATTGTGTCTCTCCAGATTCCTCCAAGAAAATAAAAGATGTGTTGACTGAGTTTAAGGAAGGTGGAAGTCTCAAGCAATATGACCCACACAAGGTAAGACTATTTCTATTTCAAGTCTTTAAAGAAAAAAATAATTCTGCCTTCCCCTCCTTTCCCCACTGGAGTCTTAACTTGCTTTGAAGACCTTGCTCTGAGACCTGTGTTACCCCAGGTCTCAAGCGAGCCATTCATGCCATCTGTGTTTCCTTTCACTTCCCACACTGTCCTACAAGACTCCATCACCATACTTATTTTGCTCGTGGCTCTTGCTTACCCTCCCAATCTCAGTTAACACTGAGAAGACGTAAGGAAAACCCCAGGCAGTCTCCCTCACCCGTGTGCCCCTTTACCCGTCACTGTGGTGAGCTGGGTGTGCTCTGAGTCTATGTCTGCTCTCCTGTGTTTGGGTTATTGGTGGGCACTGAGTCAAGACCCCTCCCCAGCCTTCCCCCATTCTCCCTGTCCCTATATTTTCCACATCAGTCTGTCTGTATACATTAGATTTTTTTTTTCCCCAGTGACACAAACTGCACTATTTCTCCTCTATTAAAATATTTTAATTTGTCTGGATGCATCTCCTCCATGCTCTCTTCTACTTTCTCCAGAATCCTTCAAGCAGTGTGCAACTCCCAATCCTTCCCTGATACCACTAGTGAAGACACCATGTGACTGAATCCCATAGTGATGCTACTTAATGGTATTGAATGCAATTTGTCAAATCCTCCTTCATCTTCATTGTTTGGTTTCAGGACACTACACTCAGTTTTGTTTTGTTTTTTTTTTTTTTTTGTTTTGTTTTTTGTTTTGTTTTGTTTTTGGTGATGGGGGTTGTTTTCTCTTTCCCCTGCACTTAACATCTAAAACTTGAAAATTAAATAGACATCTCAAACTTACCATGAGCTAAATTGATGTCCTCCATCTTCCCTCATAAAACATATTTCTCTATCAGTCAGTCCAGGAAAACTTGATTAGCAATAAGTTAATCACTCAAGTGATTTACCTAAGACTATGTAATTGTCATTGACTCAGCTCTTGCCTTCACTTCCCCACCCAGTTCAGCAGAAAACCCCACCACTTCTACCTGTAAAATAATCTACATCATCCTTCCTGCCAGGCTCCAGGACCTGACTCCTCACTGCACTCTGCTCAGACCACTGCAGTCTCCTTCTGGGCTCTCCTCCTCTTCTCCTGCCCTTTGCCATCTACTCTTTATACATATCCTGAGCAGTCTGTTAGAACTGTCATTCTTCCATTTCCCCTAGGCCCTACTCAGGGCAATCTAGACTTCCTCTGTTCTCTGGCTTTATTTTTGCCTACTCTCCCATCTTCACTCCTTCCTACCATATTAGCCTCCTGGATGCTCTTAGACAAGCTAATGCTCTGTAACCTCACTCAGCACCACTGCAGTTGCTTTTCCTTTCCCCAGGATGTCCTCTGACATGTATCTACATTCTTTGTTTCTTCACTGTGGTGGTTTGAAAGAAAATGACCCCCAAATGGATATGGCCTTGTTGAAGTAGGTGTAGCCTTGTTGGGGGGGAGGTGTCACTGTGGGAGTGGGCTTTGAGGTCTCCTTTGCTCAAGCTTCCCTCAGTGTGACACTCAGACCACTTCCTGTTGCCTGCAAGATGTAGGACTCTCAGCTACTTCTCTAGCACACCACCATGTCCCACCATGACTGAACCTCTGAACTGTAAACCACCTCAATTAAATGTTTTCCTTTATAAGAGTTGCAGTGATCATAGTGTCTCTTCACAACTATAGGAATCCTAACTAAGACATTCACTTTCTTCAAGCTGATGTTCAAACCACCTTCCCAGTGATTGCCACCTTTTTTCTCCAACATGTGAAGGCTTCCTTCTTCATACTTCCTTTTCTACTGCTCTGCTCTGTTTTTCTTAGTACTTTATACCATCTGTCATGCTAACTAATTTACTTAATTAATTCTGTCTCTCTCACTGGAATATATTTGCTCACTGCTGTGTATGTGGTGCCCAGGAGAGTATTTGGCTCATTGCAAGTATTTGACAAATGCTTTTTGGATGAGTAAATACATATAAGGCCTCTGCCTGTTTTCAAGTTCAAGCACGGTAGTATTTCTTGGCTATGTGGGCACTGTGCTGGGCTCTGAAGAGGAGGCAAAGATCATGAAGCATAGTGTCTCCTCCCTTCAGGAATTTCCTATTGCTGCCAAGGTCGAGTGTGAGTCCCAGTCCTTGAATCACATGGTTTTAGGCTAGCTTTTAACCTCTGCCATCACCCCACAATGTGAGCTTGTGTATTTCATTGAGTTTTAGTCCCCTCATCTGTGGACTGGAGTTAATGAGCATATTAAAACTTTGAATGTAGTAGATGAGTGAATTAAAAGAAAAGAAGTTGCCAAATATTGAATACTTTACAGAACATGTTATTACTTCCCTTTATCCCCATCCCCAGAATGTCTTATCTCCTCCTCCCCTGTCCCAGTAAGTATGGAGACTTACTGGGGAAAAGTGACAGCTCAGCAAAACTAAGTTAGGAAGAGGCAGCCATCTACCTATTCACATTGTCATTCCCTCAACAAACCTGAACCAAGGCCTTCTCCACTGGCTCCCAGGAATGAATCAACAGATCAGCAGCGGAGACTGTGTTCTCCAGGTCTACCTTGATAAACCACCAATTGCTGGAGAAAGAGCAGGAGGGGGGTTGGCAGAAAGGGAGAGAACATACCACTTCAAAGAGCATTCCTGAGGAGAAGCCATGCAGGGCAGCAAAGAACTCCCTGCCCCCACCCCTCCCACCTCCAACTCCAAAAACAGGGAACAAAGGCTGGAGGGAGCTGGTACTCAGCCTGTCTGCCTGAGGGCTGGCGTGTGGGAGGGGAACAATTTGGTCAGGGCCACCACTGATGTGAAGGCCAAGAGGGGCTTTCAAAAGCAGGGAGCGCTTGTCTATCATGAGTGTGCAGCCGCCCTCACACCCCTCAGAGTTGGCCCCCCTCTCTTTGTATGCCTGGCCCTGCTGCATCCTGGGGGATCTCTGCCATTCTCTCACACAGCTCTCCTGACTTCTGGTAGGTGTAATGGCATGGCATGGGGTTGGCGAAACAACAAGGGTTTCATTTCTCCTGAGCTTGATGGCTTCCTGCTGCTAAAATGTCTCAGTGAGAAAGGAGTTAGCTGTGGGCAGGGGCAGGTTGCTAGAGAAGCTAGAGAGGGAATGGCAATTTGCAGAGGGGCGGGTCTGACCAGTGATTCTCTGGAGAGAAGAACAGTGATGACAGCTAGAGAGTGAGGGAAGCCCAACCCAGCAAAAGACACAAGGTGGTGGCTCAGTGGTACTGAGACACACTGAGCCCAAGTTCAGCTCTGCAGTGTGCACTGTGACCTTGGGTAGGCTTTTAAGATGTGAGTTATAACCCTATCTTGGGCCGTTGCCTCAAGCCTGGTGCACTGTAGTTTCTACAGCTTTTCTCCTCCCTTCTAGACCTGGGGCAGAATTAGCAAGCCCCCTTAAAACAGGTTACAGCCATAGCAATTGCCTGGCAGGTTGCTTCATGGATTTGCAGCTCTGGGAAGATTATGAATGGTGTAGGTGCCAATGACAGTGATGGTTCCTTCCCAATATGCCTCTAATGCCTGGTGTTAGTTGGCTATAATACTCAAGCCCTCCTTACCCTGTTACCCACTAAGCCATCACTGTGCTCAGATGGTGCTTGTAAAGAACAATTTAACCTATATATCACTTTCAGAGAGACACACAATCATTCTTTCTTGCTCACTGAATTTGTGAAGCACTGTACCAGCCCAGGGACCTAAGACAGAAACAGCAACAGACACAGGATCCAAAGATAGGCTTCCGGTTCATCCTACCTCTAGTGGGCTGGGACAAGTCACTGAATGTCCTGAGCACCAGGGGCATAAGAAGACCCAGGTCCTCTGAGGTTTTCTGATTTGAGTGCTCTGTGTTGATCCTAGGCCATTCCATTTCCCAACAGATGCTGAATGAGTAGGCATGACTTCAGTCATCACTGCTTTTTAAGACCTCACATCCCGTTCTCATCCCGTGGCAGTTGGCACTGTTGACTATGTATTACAGTCACTTCAATACCTTTACCTGTGTGTGCTGAACACAAGTCTCTGCCTGCCTGAGAGAATGGTCCACAGGTGGCCAGCACTACAGCAGGCCATCTCTTTGATATACCAGCTGGGAAGCCAGTTTCTATTCAAATACCTATCAGGAATATTTTGATGACAAAAAATGAGATGAGAAATCCAGGTGCAGGAAATCCCACAGCACTTTAACACAGCGCTAGAATTTTAACAGTTAAAGAAGCAGGCTGTGGAGCTTGCTAGGGGAAGAACAAGGGGACAGGATGTGTAGTAACAGAAAGCAAGAGAAAGTGGCAGATGGGCTGAGAGTTTGAAGTGACTCCACATCTAGGCTGGAGTGGAATTACAGAGAAGATTCTAAATCCCCAAAGCTCCAGAAAGTGTAAGTGCCCAGGATGACTAACTTGACTGTACCAACATTATTTATATATCAATATATATTCAAGCTTCCATCTATACTCCACTTGGTTCACCTGAGTTTCTTTCCTGTATACCTGTTATCGCATATAATACCGGAGATCAGTTATGTATAAGCGGCTCTCAACTCTCCCATGGGCAATTGGAAGCCCTGGAAATTTTTTGAGTAGGAAATCAATCTTGTTACAGTCTTGCTCTGGGAAAAGCAGCCTGACATGGCTGGGTACGGCAGATGGGAGGAGCAACAGAGGGAAGTGGGAGTAAGGATGCCTTCAAGAGGCATGCCCGGGCTGGAGGGTAGCTCAGCAACTTAGAGACACATTGCTCTTGCAGAGGACCCAGCTTTTATTCCCATTTTCCACATGGTGGTTCGTAATCATCTGCAACGTATAGCTGCAGTTCCAGGAGATCTGATGCTTTCTTATAACCTCCAAAAGTACCAGGCATGCATGTGACATAAGTGTGTACATGCAGATAAAAATACTCCAGCACATAAAATAAAATAAATCTTTTTTTTTTTTTTAAAGATCTAGAGGCATTGCAATGGTCTGGCTAAAAAACACATGAAACTGAAGAAGTCAGACTTCTGGTGATGCTTCAAGGGGAAATGGACCTGGAAAGGGTCTAGGTGTTTCAGGTACTATAAAGGAACTAATCCTGCAGAATGAAGGGACAAGAACCAGTTCCAGGTCACTGAGAGGTCAAAGCTGAATTTGGAATATTGTCATTGGCATTAGCAGAAGTGGCAGTCAGGAATAGGATCCTAACTAAGGAGGTGCCAGAGAGGTTTAGAGATCTTCTGGCCCCATACTAATAATTGCTAAGATAAAACCGAAGTTGGAAAAGCCCCACATGCCTGAGACCAGGATGGGGATCTGGCTGAGTGACCCAGCCATGCCACTCCTGCATATATCCCCAGAGGACTATATGTCTTACATAAAGGGACTTCCACAACCACGCTTGTCACAACAGCCAGAGAACAGAACTAGCCTAGATGGCCATCAACAAAAGAATGGATAATGAACATATGGCACAATAGAATTTTACTCAGCTGTAAAGAAAAATGGCATTATGAAATCTGTAGGAAAATGGATGGCTCTGGACAATATTACATTACATGAAGGGACACAAATTCACAAAGCCAAAAATTCCACAATCTCTCTCCATAGGCATATCCAGACTTTAGTGTTTGTGTGTGTGAAAATAAGGGATTATAGATAGGTTATAGACTATGAAACTAGATCAGGGACCATGAGAGCAGAACAAGAAATGTTGAAAAAGAGAGTAGAGGGACACAAAGGGAGTCATGTGACATGGCAGCAGAGATGGGGGAGGGTGGGGTGCTCTCAGGAAGGGTGTGGGATGAGGGGAGAACAAGGAGGAAAGGAAAACAGTAAAAAACAAACTGTGCTTGAAAAAGGCCAGTTGTATCGGCACACACCTTTAATCCCAGCACTTGGGAGGCAGAGGAAGGCAGATCTCTGAGTTTGATGCCAACTTGGTCTATAGAGCAAGTTCCAGGATAGTCAGAGCTACAGGAACCCCTGTCTAAAAAAAGAAAAGAATAAAGAAAAAGAAAGAAATCTCATAATGAATGAAACCCAATTTTTACATTCTAATAACAAGTAAACAAATAAAAAAGAAATTTACTCAGACATATCTATCCACTCTACTGCTTTTCTAAACACTAGACATCTGGTGGCTACTTTGGGGAACTTCATACTGGTGGCTTGGAACTTCTCACACTGATCTTTTCCAGTCACCTTTTAGCTTTGTTGTTGCTGTTTAGTTTGCTTGTTTCCCACCACATTCTATTAGACTTTGTTTAGATAAACTTTTTGTTTGATTGTTTTGTGGCAGGATCTCTCTACACAGTCCCTGGCTGTCTTGGAACTCATTATGTAGACCAGGCTGATCTCTAACTGAAAGCTCAGCTGTGTCTGTCTCCCCCATGGCCTGCCACAAACTCTTCTTTTAGTGCCTTTTTTTCCCAGAAACATTTCATTCTGACTGTTTCCATTTGGTGCTAGCTCACAGCTATCCTTTAGGCAGTACCTGTCAGTTAAAATAGTGCAAAAAGATAATGCAAAGGAACTTCTGAAATAAAAGAATGAACAGCAGAAATTCAGTTGAACCAAAATTGGGAATGAGAAGTATCAAAATAAAATCTCAATGTGGGAAGTAGCTTCAAGAAAGGAGGATAGAATTCTTCAGCGAACTGAGATGAGACTTAAGGAAGAGACAACTATACTTAAGACCTCCAAGAAAGCAGGTTCATGGGCAAGAGACAGGAACTCAAACAGAGTGGAGTTCAAGAGGAAAGGGAGGTCAGTGTGGTGTCTTTGGAGAAATTAAAGAGGAAAGGAAAGATTCCCTTGAAATGTGATTGTAGTTAAAAAGCAAGCAAGATGCCATCAGAGACAGTGAGGACAGAAGCGAGGGTAGTAGTGGATTGGTGCCATGGGGAAGAATGAAATGACTCTGTCACTGTATCCTGGAAAAGAACAGAGGATGTATGCAGAAGGGACAGTCTGGGGTAGTGATACTGTAGAGACAGAGAGAGAGAATACAGCAGAGAATCAGAGATGTGGAATGAAAAGAGACACATAGCAGGACAGTGGGCACAATAAATGTCAATAAACCATGTGCTGAGCTCTTTTCATCTGGAAATTAAGTGAAGAAGTTAGTAAATGGTCTGTGTCCAACTACATCAGGCTTCTTCCACACTGCAAAAAAAACATCTCTAGGACAGCTCTGATCTCTACAGTCCTGAACTTAGCAGAGATTGGTTGCGAGTTCCCAATGGACCTACACCTGACTCTACACATTTAAGTCAGCTCCTGATTCTGGGAAGGCTCGCCTAATCCCCAGAACATGAAAGGGGTTAAATGTTATCAGAATTTTTCAGAAAGCATCAAGTAGGTTTCCAGAAAGGGATTCTATTCTCCTGGCTGTTATTCCTCATGGAGGCCAGCACAGCAGCTCTTGGGGCAGCACTTGTTCAAATAGTTTCCAGGAGCATCTGTGATTGAATGACGCTCCAACACCATGAAATTGCAAGCCAGGGATGACTCATTGCAAACTGTTGTTGTTATTGTTAGTGAATGCTTGCTGAGAGCTGCAGCTCTTTCTGGCATGGATGCTCAAAGCCTAGGATCAGATGCCAGGCAGTATCAAGAGAGACAACAGGGACAGGGTCTAGTTTTTGGCATGCCCCTTGGTTTTACCTTCTGTTCTTAGCGTCCTGCTTTCCTTGATACCTAAAGCCATCACAGTGGCATGTTCTGGGACACAGATGAGCCAAACACACACAATTCCTTTCCACCTTAGCATCTGTCTAGAGAAGATGAGCGTTAGGAAGCACTGTAGGATGGAGAGCCTGTCCTGCCTTCCCCAATCTCTCTTACTTTTTGGAGACCTGGACTCAAGAATCAGAGAAACCATGATAGCCACAAAATAACCTTTCTTTCCATGCTATTTCCTTCTGCATCCTTCTTCATTGTCACCAGAATTTCAAAGCAGTGACTGAATCCTTGCTCTGTAGATCCATGACCTTCACATGAGCCTGGACAAAGGCAGATCCCTGGAGCTCTCCATTTATGAGTCCCACTTCCTATGCATGCTGTTGGTAACCCTTTGAGAATCTCATACTTACATATCATGTGTTTTGATCATACGCACCCCTACTTCTCTCACCCCTTCACCCCTTTCCAACAAGTGTCCTCTTCCGATGCTGATCCGCTATGCCTAACTTTGCTGCCCACATACTCATGGGTCTGTCACTGAAGCATGATAGACCTACAAGGAACCTTAATGACTCTTTCCCACAAGCCAGCAACTGTTCATAGCTCTTCAGCTAGTGGTGAGGACACATGAGCCCATCTCCTCTCCACAGTGCAATGTTAACTGGCTTGATCCTATGAAGGACCTGTGCAGGCAACCATAACTGCTGAGTAAATGGGTGTAGCAGTCCTGTGATGTCTGGGAAATGTTTGTTTCATTCAGGTGCACCCCAGCATCTGACCCTTACAAATCTGTTTACCCCTTCTTTCACAGTAGTCTCTGAACCTTGTGGAGTTTATCTCTCCTACTTTTAATCCCAGTTTAGACCAAACCATATCCTATTACAAAAGCCTACTCTGTGCCTGAGGGTCAGCCACCATGTTTTCTCTGTCTGTGTCCCGGCCCCCGGCCCCTGCCCCTGTGACTCTCTGTTTCTTCCTGACCTTCCCATTCCTGTCCCCATGGCCCCTTCGCTTCCGCTACTTCCACTTCACCTGCCACCACCCTGTTCCCTTTCTTTCTCCATCCTGTCCCTTCCCTCTATTGACTTCTCTCTTCTTGCCCTTCTCAGCCCATTAGCTATGATGTCTTCAAGCTGTTCATGAGGGCATACCTGGAGGTGGACCTTCCTCAGCCACTGAGCACACACCTCTTCCTGGCCTTCAGCCAGAAGCCCAGACAGGAGACACCTGACCACCCAAAGGAGGGGGCCAGCAGTAGTGAGCCCAATGTCTCAGGTACACGGGCCAGCTTTCCCCAAGACGGGAGGATGCTGAACATCTGTGACCCCTGGCCACAGGCATAGGCAGGGCACTAGAAGGGAACCTGAACATAGTGACTTCCTTAAGGAAGAAGTGAGAGGGAGGCCAAGGGACAGGGAATCCTCTTCCTAGACCCTCACAGGAACCTTGTCTAGTGAGCCTTTCAGCAAGAGGTAAAAAGGGGGATGATTCTGTCACTCGGTCAGAGGATAGGATGGGGGCAAGAGGGGACATAACTAACATGTGGTAGAAAAATAAGAGCTTTCCAAGAAGGCTTTAGTTCATGGTTAGAGACATTCAGCACATGTCCCAGCTAGGACCAACCAGGGATCAAGGGAAGGAAATCATAGCCACTGTCTTACCAGAATCCCAGAGAGCATGAGACAAGCTGATAATAACATAGCACACACACACAACCTGCATGAACAAGAGCCCATGGGAAGGTTCCCTACATGCCCCTCTAAGGGTCTGGAGGGCATGAACTGGCCTTTACATCTTATTTTTGTTCTCTAGATTATAATACGGATAATGCCGCCAAAGCAGATGAGGCCTGCGCTCCAGACACTGGTAAGACATTGGGACATAAGGTTTAGGGGGATGTCTTAGTTAGGCTTTCTGTTGCTGTGAAGAGATACCATGACAGTGGCAAATCTTACAAAGGAAAGCATTTAATTGGGATTGGTTTACAGTTCAGAGGTTTAGTCCATTATCATCACAGTGGGGAGCATGGCAGCATGCAGACAGACATGTGCTGGAGAAGAAGCTGAGAGTTCTACATTATAATCTACAGGCAGCAGAAGGAGACACTGTGTCCCATACTGAGCATAGCTTGAACATAGGAAACCTCAAAGCCCACCCCCACAGTGACACACTTCCTCCAACAAGGCCACTCCTACTCCACACCTCCTAACAGTGCCACTCCCAAGGAGTCTTTGGGGCCATTCCTAGTCAAACCACCATGGAGAAGGGGGAGGAACCAGTTGGCCAGCTATCTTTTTATCCATACGGTTGAGGGATTCCTAGGTTCATTGAAGGTTCTTACCTCCCTTGTCCTGGAACAGAGCAGTTCAACGCTTTGGACAGGTTACCAGATGTTTACTTCTGACAAGTTATTTGCAAGAGAAGAGGAGGAGCCTTCCCAAGAGGCATGGGAGTGAGTGGGAGTCTGTGTGCCAAGATCTGGCTCTCTGGCAGAAGTATACCTGATTCTACATTCTACCAATGGATGGCTGGAGTGGGTAGGGCAAGTGTGTAAGAGTACATCCTGATGAGCCAACAAACAATGCTCACGAGGGGCTGACGAGATGATGCAGCAGTTAAGAGCACTGACTGCTCTTGCAAAGGGCTCAGGTTGGAATCCCAGCACCTGCATAGCAGCTCACAATGGTCTCAGACTCCCTGATGCTCTCTTCTTGCCTCAGTAGGCACCAGGCATGCAAATGGTGCACAGACATGCACGCAGAAGAGAGCATCCACACACATAAAATTAAATTTTAATTTTAAAACAGAAATGTCCTTGTCATTTTTTAACAAGTCGGAGAGTTTCTAATAATTACCAAAAGAAGCCAGCAAAAATTGGTTTTGAAGATCTGTTTTCTAGGTACCTGCTTGTTTCAATTTCCCGTGACCTTTGAATTTATACTGTGTCACACAGTGGAGCCAAGGAGACCATTGTGGGCTGGGGATTTAATCCAGACTTGTGTAACCTCAAATCTCTGCTCTCTGTGCACAGAGCAAGGAAGCCGAGGTGCCAGGTGGTTTGCTTCTTGCAAAAGTGCCAATTTAGTTAGTTAGTTCCTGGTGGAGCTGCTGTAGGGCTATGGTCCATTGCCCCACCTCTGGCACAGCAAATCCAGAATCTTCCCTGACATGTTTATAAGGGAGAAACTGTTTCTCTGTGCTGTTAACTAACTCGGGTACTGGAAGGGGCAACACTCACCACCCTTGACATTTCCTTTTATGTCCAATAAAAATTTCTGGGTCACCCACCTGAACTAGATCGGGCAATAGAACACGTTGGTTAGGAATACAGACCTCATTTTTAGCAGTTAGCCATGGGTGTGTTTGAGCAATGTCTGTGTTTTGCTGTCCCCTCTGTAAAACAGGATGATAATGAGTATTGCTATGTGGACTGAATGAGTTAGCAGCTGTCCTAAGGCTTAGAACAGTGCCTGGCCCCTAGTAAATGTTCAATTATATTAGTAGTTAGCATTGAACCACACTCTGGATGAATGCTATCTACTTAGCTCATTACAGTCAGCCAGACTGTCCTTGATTCTGCAGCTTCAGTCTCCTGGCAGGCCAGCTCAGCATCCTGTTCTGGTGGGAAATGACTTGTGGACTATGCACTTTGTTCTTAAGGTTTCAAATATGAAGTCTCAGAGAGGCAGGCCCTGTTTACTGCCCAGGCTCATATTGTGGGAACAATGTATACACAAAGCTGAATTCCAGCTCTTGAGATGAACACTGAGGATAACAAATGCAGTTCCATCATATTTTTAAATATGTGCCATACCAAGAAGGCAGGGGTACTACAGCTGAAAGACAATGGGAAGACTTTCAGCAGAGACTAGGATGAGAGCCTCTTCAAGTGGACACTAGCTGTAACCTGATCTTTCTCTTTTCCTGTCCCAGGAGGGAAACTAGAAGCATGATAGGGCTTTCAGTGTTTGGCAGGATTGCTAAATGAGTTAGTTGGGGTTTGTCATTGTTTTTAAATTCACTGTGGAGCTGGATGCTGTGGTGTGTGTGTGTGTGTGTGTGTGTCGGCTGGTAGGCCCAACTTCTCAGGAAGCAGAGGTGAGAAGATCACTTGAGCCCTCGAGTTCAAATCCAGCCTGGGCCACACAGACATCCACCTAAAAAGAAAAGTGAGGGGCCACAGAAATGGCTTGGCTGTTAACAGCACTTGCTGCTCTTCTAGAGGACCTGAGTTCACTTCCACCAGGGGATCAGAGGCCAGAGAGGGCACACATACTCATGAACACATATCCATACACAGAGACACACACACACTATACATAATTGGAAATAACAAATCTTTTTTAAGGGGCAGAGGAGAGGGAGAGTAAAGAGACAGGGAGAGAGACCAGAGAAAGGGAGAAGAGAGAATTAACACTACACAGAACTCAGAACATGAGTTGGAAAGAGAAGACTATCATGGAAGCTTGTAGAGATCAAGGAAGCAAGGCAGGAGGGAGCCAGGGCTTTCCTGATGCCTCTGGTGATAGCTGTAGGGAAAGACAACTCAAAGTTGATGGCTCACTTCTCCCTGCCAGCACCCCATCAGCTCTACCAGTCCAGGGTCCCCTGGTGGAATGAATTTAAGGCACAAGTCAGTCTTACATCTCATAGGGAATAACCCATCAAAGTCTGACACAAAACATCCTCCCAGAAGAAAGGAAAGGGCAAGTTTATAAACTTCCAGTAAGGAAGCATGCTGCCCCAATTTCTCACCCAGGCGCTTGGAAATTCCAGAGAAACCCTCAGGTTGCTTCCCATGCCTTATGGCCCAAAACAATGTGAACAGGGTTTGTTTTAGTGGCTGAGGAGAGAGCATCAAAGAAGTCACATAGGGAAGGTCGTGGGATATTTGAGGACAGATGGATAGTGACACAGTGGAGAGATGGACATGGCCTTGCTCACTCACAGCAGTGCTATCACTCTGAGTCTCAAAGAGACCTCCTCAGGCTTCCTGGAAAAGTGGCTTGTCATGCACCATTTCGTCTGCTTACAGTGAAGAAAACATCCGGCCCTACAGGTTAAATCATGAAAAGGCAGTTATCTGATTTGGGATCTAAGGACATCTTTTAAAAAATCTTTTTGTATCTTTTTAAACTGGAGGTTTAAAGAAGAATAATCCATTTCATGCCATGTTTCCTTCAAGAGATGATTTCATTTTATTGGCCCCGTTTACAAAAAAAAAAAAAAAAAAATAGGACTAGGCAGGGGTTTCAGAGAGTTCCTTCCTACAAGAAGCAAGCCCTGGACTCACTTGCCATTTGGCCATTTGTGGAAAACCCAGCCTTTCCCTGTTATTCTGGTAGATGCCAGAAGATGCTAGATTCTGACTGACACGGCCTCCACCAATCATGCCTTTCTATGCTCAGATATAGCACAGCCCACCTCAAGTCATTTCTTCCCAGAGCAGGACAGAAGAAAGGGTATTTCATAGGATGCAAGTATTGACTCAAAGCCCTCCAGAGTCACTGTCATCCTATCAGCTCAGAATATGAAAGTCCTTGGTGTTTTGTTTGGTTTCTTATCCTGTTGAGACTTTTCAGCAAAGCACAATATTGAGTATCTGAAGGAAGTGACCTGCTTTCTCAGCCTTTCCCATTATAAAAGTAGTATATTCACTTTATATAGTGAATATATAGTATATTCCCATTATAAAAGTAGTATATTGTAGACAGTTTGAAGAGTAACTCCCAAGCTCCCCAAAAGAAACAACAAACAATAAAGATAATAAAAACTGGTGATTGTCAGAGTCTGGGGAGAAGAGATGAATAGCCAAATAGAGAGGGACTGCAGGGTGGTGGTATTTCTCTGCATGACACTATAGTGATGGACATGTGTCCAAATCCTTTGTTCAGACCCAAGGAAAACATAATCCCAAGAGTGACCACTACTGTGGGCTGAGGGCTGTGAGTGACAATGACAGGTCAATGCAAATGCAGAACTCTTTGTGGCACATTCATTGTGAAGGTAGCTACATACGAAATTGTCTACAGGGTGTGTGAACAAAGTCACTGTACCTTCCACTACTTTTTCTATAAACCTAAACTGCTCTTTAACAAATTTCATCTGTTTAAAAAAAAAAGTTGAACTCAACTATACTTGCAGTTAAATGTGTATGATCTCATAGGGCTTTTTTCTTTCCAATAGGTTTCTTACATAACTGGGATCGAGCCATATATAATTTTGAAGTTAGAATTCTTTTTCATTTAACATTATAGTTACAAACATCCCTGTAATTCAAGACTGGGGTGAACCTCAGTTTTAACCTCCCTTAACAAATTTAAACAAAAACAGGATGAGTCTAGTAATAAGCCCACCTGAGCAAGTCACACACTATATAGTGTAAACCCCCAGTGCTAGTGTCCCAAAAACTCTCCCCTCTGCCACACCGCCCAGCTACAAGTCAACAAATACTACAGAGACTATGAGCAAAAGCAGAATGGGCAGATGCACCCTGCCTTCAGTGAAGGGGCTTACGATCAGGTGCTGGATGAGGGCCGATGTGGTGTAGAAGAGGCCATTTGTCTTTGGTCCCTGGGAGGTATGCTTAGATTACTATTTAGATTACAGGAGGTCTGGGTATTTTGTAGGTGGAAGCATGAGAAGGAAGGACACTGATGGGATAATCAGCATCTAGCATCTCCAAGCCAGAGTAAACTAAACCTTGGTGTGAACTAGAACTGTGACATGATCCATCCAGAACTCTAGAGATTGGACCATCTTCAGGAAAAAGTAATGTTCTTGCATAGCTCAGTCAAACTGTAGTTGGCATGTAATCTGCCTTCTGTCACTATGAAGGTCATTGTACCATCTGGACTCCCTATGAACAGAATCATGAAATATTTCCTTTCTTAGCTCTTCTTTTATTTGGCATAATCATTTTGTATATATTAATTGTCAACATATTTTGTTGTTAATTAGTATTCTAACAGATAGAGTTTCCATAATTATTCCACTTATTGGGACAGGGACGTTTGGTTAGTTCCCAGTTTGGGATTATTAAAAACAAACATGTGAATATTCCTTTATAGGTTTGTGTAAGGTGAACTTTCATTCCCCTCGGGCACACACTTAGAGTGGGATACCAGGCACAATGTGGGGGCGCTGTGCACTTTTCCGTTTATAGGAAATTGCCAAGCTCTTTTCAAGACCATTGGCCCATTTTCACACCTAGCTGCACAAAGGCCTCTGCTGCTCAGCCCTGCATCTTCATTTCCCGTTGTTCTAATACAGAGGGTGGCATCTCACCGTGGTCTGTGTTCGCATTTTCCCGGTGACATCCTGTCATGTGCTCAGTAGATTACTGGTCATCTCTGAATCATCCTTAACAAAAATGTTCAAATCTTTTGTTTTACCTACTCATCCTCTCCCTGGCCCTAAAAGGAGATTCTGAAGAACAAAGCTTTTTAATGTTTTAAAAGAATTATTGGCTCTGTGAATTCAAGGCCAGCCTAATCTAAAAAGTTAGTTCCAGGACAACCAAAGCTACACAGAGAATCTAGACTCCAAAACAAACAACAACATAAAAGAATTATCCATTTTACTTTATGTGAACTGTGTGTATATGACTGTTTTGCCTGCATATATGTACATGAACCACGCTCATGCCTGGTGCCTGTGGAGGTCAGAAGAGGGCATTACATCTACAAATAGAGTGATGGTGGTTGTGAATCACCATGTAGGCACTGGGAACTGAACCTGAATCCTCTGCAAGAACAAGAAATGCTCTTATCCCTACCTCCAAAATGTCTTAATTTTTATGAAATACAATTCAATGTGGCTTGTTTGTTTTATGGCTGACCGTTGCTATTGCATCTTAGAAATCTGCTGAACTCAGGATCAGAAAGAACTGGTATGTTAGTGCCATGGGTCTAACCCTTTAACACAGTGTCTCCTCATTTACATCTCCGCTAACTTCTACTTAATGCACTGCTAACATTGCGAACTTCTGCCTCTGAGTCCATGCAGAATGCAGACATGCATCCTCTTGTGATGTCTTTGATCTGAGCTTTGCAGCACTGCCGCTCTTCTTAGGGGGGTTAGGTAGGATTCTTATCCCTTCGCTTTTCTGGGAGAATTTGTATAGAATCCTTATCTGCTGAGTGCAGTATGGACTGTTTCTGCATTTCAGCAAATATCCTTATGCTTGTTTAGGGTAAAGTGGGATTACCTGGGAATAGTTGCAAGTGTTTACATACCCTTGGGCAGCTAGATCTGACGCTGCCTCGCTGTTGAGGCAGAGTTGCTTGGGGTCCTCTACAGGTGACATGTGGTTTCTAGGGGTTTCTGCCCCACTGATGAGAATGACTTTTCAGCCCAGAATTTGTCCCCTCTGGTCCTGCTTCCTCTACTCCCCATCCCAACCATAACCACCTCTATTCCCCAGCCTCAGGCAGTTTCCTCCCCAGGGAGCAACAATCCCCACTCAGCTATAAAACTGAAAGTGACTATGCAAGCTATAAAGGAACCTCATACATATCTCTGGGTTTCTGTCTGTGTGGCTATCTGGGCTGCACTCTGGGCTCCCACTTCCTCCTCAACTCACAGAGTATGCCAGGATTTGCCAGAGTGCTCCTCCCTTCCCCCTCCTGTCTTCCCCCTCCCCCTCCCTCCCCCAGCACAGCATGAGAGTTTCTCCCAAATGCTAAGATGTGACAGCCTTAGGGGGGCAACTCGCCTCTTACTTGTCCCCCCTTTTTTCGGGGACCCTACTTGAAATATAATGTCCTATACCATTTGCTCCATATCTTCTGTCCAGGTACTAGTTGAGTCGGGTGGGACAATAAATCCGGTCCCATGTCACTCAGAGCTAGAGACAAAGTGGAAGCCATTGATGACATTGCGATGGATGAGTAACCTGAGCACACAGCAGTGACTTGGGGCATTAGGGACCCCAGCACAAAGGATCACATTCTCCTTGTTTTCCACATCATCATTCAGAATGCCCATGGTTTCCTCAGGGATGAGCTTAACAGTCTGATTGCATAAGGACTTTCATCTCAACCCTCACACCTCTTCTATTATTCGTTCACATTCTTCTTACCTCTACTGCTCACCTCCGAGGCTTTCTGCCCTTGCTAAACAGAGAGTCAATGTTCTTGCAGCTCAAGAGTGTCTTGTCCAGTAGAAAATTACCTTCAGACCCTGGGCCCTGTGAGACTTCTGGGTGAAGCTCCTCTCTTCACCTGTCTTTTATCTTCCTTCCTGTGTTTTGTAGGCCCTCAGTAACACCCAGAGACCTCTGATCTCCTCTACTGTCAGTGTGAATGACAGCTAACTCCTTTCTAAATCACAGCCCACCCTGCAGGACTGGGCAGGCCTTCTCCCTCAGCCCTGCTGTCCTGGGGCAGAGTGCTTCCTCCCATAATGTAGCTCTTATGTTCTCTGAATACTGTGGGGTAATACTGCCTTCTGCAGCAGGCATTGCCGAGGAGGCTGCCTCCGCCTCTGTCCATGATGGCAACACTCACTGGCTGTTGGTGTCACGGGGCCTCCGTTGGCTTGCCCACCGGCAGTGATGTGTTTAGCTCACAGTCAGTTGTGTCCCGTGTGTTGTACATCCTGCTGGTTATGAAAAGGGCTTCTGGGGGTGTGGAAAGTAGCCAAGCTGAGGAAAGAAAGAACAAAGTACCTCAGAACATATACTTCACATAGTGGAATAAAATTCTAGTGTCCTCGTTGACAATGAATTTTGTATTTCTGAACTAGGGGACAGAGTGTGGGGAAACATTTCCTTGTGGAGCATAGAGCAAGTCACTTTCTGCATTTTCTTGGCAGATAAAGTTTCCTAACTTCTGGAATTCGATGGTTGTCAGTAGGGTTTTTCTTTGTATATCAATCTCTTCCTTTGTCATTAAGTATATACTGCAGAAGAAAACTATGAGATGCCACATCCTTGCATGCCTCCAGGGACGGAGCTTCAGTACAGTGAGGGAATGAAGGAATGACAGACACAGGGGCACAGAAAAGCCAGAATTAGGCAATCTGCGCTCTGATGAGAAGCCACGGCACCCCAGAAACTTACCAAAGTGTTTATTATGCACAGTTTATTATGCCTTGAACAAGGAGGTGACACTATTGCACACCAGCTAATCACGAGGGTGGGTCACTACATCAGATAATTAAGGAGATAGGACTATTGTGTACATCTGAACAAGGGGACAGGCTTCACTAACTCCGTAGACACACTCTCTGTAGGACAGCAGACTTCAAGAGGTAAACATGGTACAGGGACTACAGTGAACATTTTCTGCACACACTATCAACATTCACACATGAACCAGGGGAAGGCTTTGCCACTCCCATGGGTCTGAGGCATTGGTCCTTGACACAGCTGCCTCAAGTCAACAGCATACATCCACTGAGGACATCAGCTCCCCACTAAGAAAGGGTTTGAATGTGGTGAGAGTCCATGCAGAATTACTTTTGTGAATTAGGTATTTAGAGTAGTGGTAAGTTACATTTATCTGCTCACTGCATTATCACCAGGACACGCTATCATCTTTCCTGAAAATTCACAGAATGGGTAAACTTTCTGCAAGGAAATATACTCCTAAATGGATCAAAAATGAGGCCACTCATAGAAAATAACTACATCCTGCATTTCTGTGAACACACTACATAATATGTATTAATTACATTTTTAAGAAACCCATAGAACATTCTCACCTCAACCGTGAAGAGGATGGCACCATTAGGAGGGTTAATGTTTACTAACATGAAGGTCCTCAGATTTTCTCCTTTTTGTCTTTCAGAATCAAAAATGGCTAAGACACAGGCGTCATCTAAAGACCTAGAGGCTGTAGTCCCATGGGAAGATCTCAGTGCTCTGTCTTCCAGCTCAGATGCTCCCATGGTGTATCTGAAGGATGTGGTGTGCTACTTGTCCCTGCTGGAGACAGGAAGACCTCAGGATAAACTAGAATGTAAGTGCTCACCTGCTCGGCCTCAGATTCTTCCTGTCAGTCATGCCTTACACACTGAAGCTACACCTGGGCTCTGGGGAGATTTCTCTGAGTCTACTATCAGTGATAACATGTCCTACAGTCTACCTAGGACACGGCACCAGTGTTGACTGACGTTGGGAAGGATATCTGAGACCTTATCCCTTTGAAAGAAGGGGATTGCTACCGAGGACTCAAAGATTGCTTCATCTGGCAGGGCCTCCTCAGTACCTCTAAGCAGAAAGCGGCAACCTCGTCTTGATATTTCTTTTCTTTTTTAAGAAAAGATACTCAACATCTGATCTTCCCCCAACGGGAACTATAGGACCTCTTTCCTCCCTTCCTTCCCTCCTCTGGTCTTTCCCATTTTATTTTATGTCATTTATTTTAAGACACGGTCTCTCTATGTAGTTCTGGCTGTCCTGGAACTCACTATGTAGACCAGACTGACCTTGAGTTCCCAGAGATTGGCTAGCCTCTGCCTCCCATGTGCTGGGATTAAAGGCCTCTGCCTGCATATAAGGAATCCCCCTCTCCTTTCTTCCTCCCTTTCCTTTTCCTCCTTCCTCCCTCCCTCCACCCTCCCTTTCTCACCCTTTTTTCTTTCCCTTGAGTTATAATAAGCCCCAGTCTTGGTAGGATTTATTTCCATTTCTCCACTCATGCCTTATACTCAAGGTCTTTGCTCACCAGAAGAGTTAAGTTTGGTTTTGTGGTGCTTCAAACTCAGTTTCAATAACACGTCCAGATGCTGAAGATGCACATGCCTGTGGTGAATCTCTGTGAATCTCAAGGAAAGCTTGGTCTATGTAGTGAGTTTAAGGCCAGTCAAGGCTTCATAGTGACACCCTGCCTCAAAAAATACAAAACAGACCTTCAGGAGCACATTAGAGCTAGGCAGATGGAGCCTGTGGTCTTGAAGAACTATCCCAGGATGGCTTTCCTGGCCTTTGGAGCCACTGGCATGCTTTCTAAGCCTGTTACAAGGCTCATCTTATAGTTACCTCTCTTGGGAACTTAAGTAGCAGCAAAGAAATAACTTTTGTAGCAAAAATCAAAATTCAGTTAATAAGATTAGTCAACAAAACATAGACATTACCAAGAGAAGTCTGTGAAAGGTTGACTCTGCCAAACCCAATCTGACAAGCTTGCTCATTGGCTGAGCATAAACTTTCCCATAGGCTGGGGATGCAAGTCTTAAGTGCCAATTCGGTGCAAATGTAGCAGATTTCCTTTCTGTTCAGGCTAAAGTTAAAAGTGGAATATTAAATTATTTCTAACAGTTAGGAGGGCTTTGTGTCTTAGGCATTGTGTGTGTTGGTGATCACCAAGGATGATGTGTCAGATCCTTCACGTCAGTGCCACTCAGACTGACTTTTTTGAACAGAAGGGGGAAAAATTCTGGGTTTTTTCAGTATACAGACTTTTTTTCTTCTCTCATACATTACACCTCAACCATGGTATCCCCCCCCACACACACACACACACACACTCCTCCCAGTTGCCTCCCCCTTTCAAACCTTTCCCTCAGATCCACTTTTCCTCATTTTCCCCTCAAAACAGAACAAGGCTCCCAGGGATATCAACCAAACATGGCATAACAAGTTACAATAAGACTAAAAGCACAAACCTCACATCAAGGCTGGAGGAAAAGGATTCCAAGAGTAGGCAAAAGAGTCAGAGGCAGATGCACTCTTACTGTTAGACATCCCACAAGAACACCAAGATAAACAACCATGACATATATTCAGACCCATACATCTCCAGTTGTTGCTTCATTCTCTGTGAGCCCCTATGAGCCCTGCTTAGTTGGTTCTGTGGGCTGTATTCTCATAGTATCCTTGATCTGTCTTTTCCTCCCTCCCCCTCCTCTGCTGGGTCCCCCTGGCTCCTGCTAGTGTTTGTCTGAGGGTCTCTGTATCTGTTTCCATTGGTTGCTGTTTGACATCTCTCATGATAATTGGGCTAGGCACTAATCTATGAGTACAGCAGAATATCATTAGTAATCATTTCATTGAATCTTTTACCAGTCGTGTTTATCCTGGGTTCTCTGGGTCTCTGGGCTGTCCAGACTCTAGATCCTGGCTATCCAGGCAGTGTCAGCCATGCTCCCTCTCATGGCATGGGTCTCAAGTTGGACCAGTCATGAGATGGCCACTCCCACAATTTCTGTGACACCATTAGCCCCAGCACATCTTGCAGGCAGGACAGGTGGTAGGTCAAAGGTTTTGTGGCTGGTTTGGTGTTCCAATCCCACTGCTTCTAGAAGCCTAGTTCTGGAAGATGGCCAATTCAGGCTTTGTATCTTCCACTACGTGGAGTCTTCGCTATGGTCATTCTCATAGATTCTAGGTAGTTTCCACTGCACTGTTTCCACATTGCCCCTCAAATGCTCCCCAATTCCAGATGTCTTTCCCAGCACTCCCCCTACCTCTTCCCACACCACCGAGCCTTCCTGTTCCCATCCCCACCTACAAAATCTATTCTATTTCCCCTTCCCAGGGAGATCCACCTTGTTACCTAGCCTCTCTGGGTCTATGGATTGTAGCATGGCTATCCTTTATTTTATAGCTACTGTCCACTTAAAAGTAAATACATGCCATGTTTGTCTTTCTGGGTTACATCACTCAGGATGACTTTTTCTAGTTCCATCCATTTGCCTGCAAATTTATGATGTCATTGTTTTTAACAGCTGAGTAAAATGCCATTGTACAAATTGCCACATTTTCTTTTTTCTTCAATTGAGGATATCTAGGTTGTTTCCTGTTTCTGGCTATTTTGAATAAAGCTGCTATGAGCATAGTTGAGCAAGTGTCCTTGTGGTGCGATGGAGCACCCTTTGGTAATGTGCCCAAGAGTGATATAGCTGGACCTTAAGGTAGATTGATTCTCAGTTCTCTGAGACACTGACATATTGGTTTCCAAAGTGAACGTATAAGTTTGCATGCACACCGGCAGTGGAGGAGTGTTCCCCTAACTCCACATCTTCTCCAGCATGAGCTGCCCCTTCTGTTTTTTATCTTAACCATTCTGACAGGTGTAAGGTGGAATCTCTGAGTCATTTGATTTGCATTTCCCTGATAGCTAAGGATATTGGACATTTCTTTAAGTGTCTCTCAGCTATTTGAGATTTCTCCGTTGAGAATTCTCTATATCTGTATGCCATTTTAAATTGGATTATTTGGTGTTTTGATGTCTAGTTACTTCAGTTCTTTATATATTTTGGATATTATCCCTCTGTCAAATGTGGGGTTGGTGAAAATCTTTTCCCAGTCTGTGGGCTGCTGCTTTGTCCAAATAAAGGTATCCGTTGCCTTACTGAAGCTTTTCAGTTTCATGAAGTCCCATTTATTGATTGTTGATCTTAGTGTTTCTGCTATTGGTGTTCTGTTCAGGAAGTTGTCTCCTGTGCCAATGCATTCAATGCTATTTGCCACTTTCTCTTCTATTAGGTTCAGTATGTCTGGTTGATCCACTCATACCTGAGTTTTGTGCAGGATGAGTACTATCTTTCAGGGTCTGTAAAGAATTGTGTTGGAATTTTGATGGGGATTGTGTTGAATCTGTAGATTTCTTTTGGTAAGATGGCCCATCTATACTATGTTAATCCTACCTATCCATGAGCATGGGAGATGTTTCCAACTCCTAATATCTTCTCCATTTCTTTCTTCAAAGACTTGAGGTTTTTTTTATCATGTAAGTCTTTCACTTGCTTGTTTGGAGTTACCCCAAGATATTTTATATTATCAGTGGCTAATGTGAAGGGTGTTGTTTCCCTGATTTCTTTCTCAGCCCACTTGTATATGGGAGAATTACTGTTTGTTTGTTTAGTTGATTGGTTGATTGGCTGGTTGTTTTGGTTTTTTGTTTGTTTTGTTATGTTTTTAGTTAATCTTTTATCCAATCACTTCACTAAAACTGTTTATCAGCTGTAGGAATTCCTTAGTAGAATTTTTGGTGCTGCTTATGTATATTATCATATTACCTGCAAATAATAATATCTTGACTTCTTGCTTTCCTTCATCTCCTTAGGTTGTCTTATTGCTCTAGCTAGAACTTCAAGTATCATATTGGATAGGTAAGGAGAGCTGAAAGACCCGCGAAGGGCCTGACTCAGGAAAGGCGGCTCTCCCCCAAATCACTCACGAGAAGCGGTCTTGATGCAAAAGCATGAGGTCTTTTATATTCCAGTGCACTGGGGTCTGCAGCCATACTCCACCAAGGTACAGGGTTCAGACAGCTTTTATAGGGTTACAACAAAGCCCATGCATTACAAACCAATCATCTCATAGCATCCAGTGTGGACCAATCAATTTGAACTATCCAAGCCCACACTTTGCCCAGGAAGTCTGCTTTCGATAGGGCTCCTGGGTAGTGTGACAAGCCCACACTTAGCCCAGGAAGTCTGCTTTCGATAGGGCTCCTGGGTAGTGTGGCAAGGCTCATTTCCTGTTCTCATTCACTCACAGGTGCTGTCTTGGTAAACCTCCCTGTCGTAAACAGTCAAGAATGACCTTTTGCCTACTCACTGCTAGGGGGCAGAGTCTAGGGAGAATTAGGCTCAATGTTTCCATCCTTACAGAGTGTGAATAGCCTTGTCTGTTCCTGATTTTAGAGAAATTGCTTTACATTTATCTCCATTTAAATTGATGTTGGCCATATGCTTGCTGTAAATTGCCTTTATTATGTTTAGGTATGTCAATTTTATCCTTACTCTTTCCACAACTTTTATCATGAAGAGGTGTTGGATTTTTGTCAAAGGTTTTTTCAGCATCTGATGAGATGATCATGTGAGGTTTTTTTTTCTTCTTCTTCTTTCTTTCAGTTTGTTTATATGGTGGATTACATTGGCTGATTTTTGTGTGTTGAACCATCCCTACATCTTTAGGATGAAGCCTACTTGATCATGGTGGATGACCTTTTTGATGTGTTTTTTGGATTTGCCAGTATTTTATTGAATATTTTCACATCCATGTGCTTGA